ATAATTGAATGTAATTGAGGATCTGTCAAATACGAAAAAAATGGTTAATTCACGCGCTATCAAAACTTGAGACATTTAATTTCATTTTGTAGAGAATTACCTTCAATATATAGTCAATAAACTCAACAGTTGGATATAGAGAAACCTTTTGTACTAGAACAATTGACTCAAATAAGTAATGTTTATTTTTCAAATGTTAAACGTATAAAATTTCATCTTCAATTTTTTTGTTACAACCCACAATAATTTGCACATAATCTCCTGAAAATACTGCAAAATTTCAAAAATCTAAAAACATTAATCATTTACAATCTTCAGCTTTTTCGAAACTATACGAATCTTCTTTCTAAAACAGAACTAAGTGAAATTATGAAAAATTATCTAGTAAAACATTTTAAAAAATATTCTATATTTAAAAAGAAATTGTGGATTTTTTCGATATAAATAAATACATGTGAACGTCAATTAAAAAATTATCACAAAGCGTAACATAAAATCTTTCAATAAAATAAGAACTAATTTTTTATGGGTACTATATTATTAAAAACTACCAAGGAATTGATATATTTTCGAGTAATTATATTGATTTCAAATGAATCTGCTAGAGTGAATGGGACATAATCTTATACATCTTCAAGAATATACCAAAAATAGAACTATACAACTGTTCCTTTAATACTGTAACTATTATTTCCAAATGTTTCCTTAACTCCTTCTTCTTCAATTTGATCAAAAACTGAACAATTTCTATTCCATGTCATAGGTGAGAAATCCTGATCAGGTGTTATGTAGAAATATTTTGATGTAGATGGATCATAATCTGGCCATTGACTCAATGGTCTTCCTGTTGTTGCTATATTGATCCAATGTGCAATTATTTCATTAGAAAATATTCGTGATTGATTATCCCATGTACAATTAACTGGTCCAACTGAATCCCAACTACTTATAGTTCCGAATACATATGCAATTTCTGATGCATGTTCGCACACACCCTTATCTGGCACTACAGGACATTCAGGATGACAATTTAAATGATACCAAAACAATTTATTATTTTCATATTCTGGACCATATTTTAAGTATAGACCGTTGTACAATCGACGAACATTACAATCAAAAGTTTTATCCATTAATATTAAACGAACGATATTACAGCAACGAGTAATATTGGCATTTGGATCTGATGAACAGTTATTTATGTGGTAATGATTCACAATCATTGGTATCCATTTATATCCTATAGACTGAGTTAATAATGACACAGCATCATTAAAATTCATATCAGGCTGTTGAAAACATATTGGATCTTCATAATCATTATTACCCATAATAAGACTAAGATCTTTATTGTATGTTCCATTTTTAATTGCTAATGGAGGATACAATGGAAAAAAATAATTATCAATTATGGGTTTTGTGGCTCGATTACCATAGGCTTTAAATAAATCTTCAATTGAAGAATTACGTATACATGAAAGAACGTTTTCTTTAACATCACTTGAGCAATTCAACCGCTGAACAACTGAGTTTGAATAATTAAGAGCATTACTCATATTATTATAAGATGAATAAGTTCCAGGTGAACCTAAACCTGATTCACTTATCGCCGTTCGGTAAAGATTGGCTGATCCTTTCACTGCACCAAGATTAATAACAGAAAGTCCTCCAGCACTTTCTCCAAACAATGCAACATTATTCGAATCACCTCCATAATCTTGAATATTTTTCTTTATCCAACGTAATGCAGATAACATATCTAACTTCATATAATTACCAGCAGCGGGCCATTCAGAATCTTCTTCAATTAATTCTTTTAAATACATATCTGCTAATACTCCTAATCGATAATTGATTGTGATGATAATAGCTGGTTGATCCGGTGGTGAATAAGCAATCATATTTGTACCATTATATCTCAGTGGAATACTTTGTGATGAACACCCTAATGCATGTCCACCACCATGAATCCAAACAAATACTGGTAATAATGAATGATTTGATTGGACTATTGGTTTAAAGATGTTTAGATAGAGACATTGTTCATCTTGTTTAGGAATATATGCATCACTACTTGGCTGCGGACAACAGGGGCCAAATGATGTAGCTTGAAATGAACCATTTGGAAAGATTTCTGATGCAAGATCAATCGGTGGTTTCCATCGAATGACTTTTGCATATTGAATCCTAAGCAACAATCACAAGAGAACTCATTAAACGTATGAGTTGTATTTTACCCCAGATATTCAATTGAATTTTGAGTTTGTCTTCCATATATAATTCCTTGTTGAGTTTGTAATCCAACATTTTCAGTAGTAGGTGTTGCAATAATAAAAAATAATATATGGCACAATAACCGAAAACGAGTCATCTAAACAATTTGTCAGACATAATGAGACGGTTGTAAAAAAATTCAAAATCATTGACTATAGAACGCTATGACACAGTTAACTGATCAATTAGAGCTATCGAGTCGCATTGAGGAAATAAATGAAAAAAAATGTGGTTTTAATACTACTCATTGTTTTTATAAAATACGAACTAAAATAGCTTCCTACATGTTCTCAGGAAGAGAAAATCTATGAAAGGGAACGATCGATTCCACTTCGATAAAAAGGAAAAAGATGGTAAGAATGATTCGCACGCATACCTC